TTTTCCCAATCCGTTTTGCAACCATGTACACTGGAAAAAATCTAAATCTACATAAGTAATTATTTTTCTTAAAATAAGGGCACTTGTTCTTGACTTGAGCAGGTAAGTGAGATACTTTGCCAACAGAATGAGATAATTTACAATTAAAATAAGGGGGAAAATTGCATTGTCTTATTTAAAGTGCATATTATCTAATTATGTTATTTTAGGAGTAAAGAAATCTCGTTCCATTGGCAAATCCTCTTATTTACCTGCTCAAATGAAGAGTAAATACACTTAATTTAAGAAATGTTGACTAATTTCTAGATAGTTTTTTTCCAGTGTACACACCCATTCAGATCTTTAAAGTAAAATAATTTCCACTGCATATGTCCAATGGTGGATGAAGTACTCAACAGTAGTACTTGAGTAAAGTATTGCTACTTATATTCGATGTTACTCAGTCAAACATCTACTCAAGTACTGAATTTTCTAAATATTCAAGTGAGTATTCAATAAATATTAGTATTCAAGAATACAAACAAAATGTTCTAATATCAGTATTTTTCTGTGTAATTTTTAAAGTCATTTTAAAGAACCTTATAACTTGCAGAAACCACCTGATGTATTGATGCGTAGAACCACCTGCTACAAATTCTACACCACTTGTAAAGAGCTTCAGCATACAAATGGCACAAAAAAATAAAGACAGCTATTTTGGTTATTATTAATTATTAAAAAACAAAGCAAAAAGAAAACAGGAGAGTCTTGATTCTCAAACTTTCACTATTGAATAGAGGTTTAATGTTGAATCTGTGACCACAAAGAAACTACAACTGATTTGAGAGCTCATCTGAACAACCTGGCCGCATGTCAACAACAAACGCTTTAATACAATTAACTATAACTAATATCTGTTTCTCACATAAGGGACATTAAGGTAAGATTCTACAAAGTCTGTGTGCTGGGTACTGAGTTTTTCAAGTGGCTGATGGGAACAGAAGAGACCTGCTGGAGTGAAACCTTTGCTGGTACCGCTGCGTTCAAAGGAACCAGACCACAGTCCATTTTCGCCCATCGTGGGACAGCAGATTTTACTTTTTTATTGTGAAAGGATAAGCAGGAATTGCTGGACGGTTGAACACAAGCTCAATGGTGGAAAATGGCGAGTTATTGTAAGTGTGGGGCCAAACGTGTTGAGTTACTGTAGAACTGGCCACTTGAATCCTTGTGCCTAGGAACATGACAATCTGGGCGTGGAGAGTTAGTAGTTAGATGCTGATTTGTTCATCAAAAAGGAACTACATTAACTATTTTGCTGATGCTTTTATGACAAGCGTTCAAATTGTGTCTTTTTTTGAAGCAGCCATTTCCGTCTCCAAGCTGAGAGTTTTTTTCTCTCCTCTCATCTCTGTAGACAGAGGAGTTGGTGATGGGAGTATCTCCACAGCCGACAGACATTCAACTTGTGATCACTCCACTTGCGGTGCTGTCAGGATAGAACTGTAAAAAAAGAAAAAAAGTATGTATATTTATTATGGCGAGCACTTTAATGCATTAATTCTGATCAGGCTCAGACTGGGAACGATATTCGGACCTGGTATTTTTCCATCTACACCGGCCCACTTATGGACTTATGGACCCTGACTCACGTTTTCCAACCCAAAATATTTTCATAAACCGCCTGGAAATCTCGCCCAGTTTGAACCAAAGCCTATTGATCTCTTAGGCCATAAATCTAAAGAAAAACATTTTTTACCCAGAGACGGCCATCCTAAACTGCCAGATTGGGAAACATCCCAACCTGGCAACAATGTACGTAAGACGGGAAAGGTTAGCCTTTAGATGCAAAACAACACCATGCACCGCAACATATTTTAGCAAAATATTGAAACATAAATTTGTCAAATATAAGAGGAACATCGTTGTTTGGTTTAAAGAAAGCATTTTAGTTTTATTCTAATTTTGTTTGTTGCAAGGATTTTACAGTTTAAAGAAATAGAAAATTACACCATATGCCAACCGTCACAAGGATGTGCATGACAAGGAAGGCCTATATAAACTGCATGCATCAATTAGGTAGTTAACATTGTATTACTTCTTGAGCCCCTTGAGTTTTTCGCTGTCACAGGTAGGAGCTTCGGCCGGAGAGTAAGTGTTGGGGCCAGTATGATTTTAAGGAGGGCCGGCCCTCGCACACTGAAATTAGGACCAACCCACCAGGCAAATGCCTGGGATCACAGATTACCAGTCCGAGCCTGATTCTGAGTAACTAATTAGAAAGATTTTAAAGGTATTGTGGAGGATTTTTTAAAAGACCCCCCTCTCCACTTAAAAAAATTGACTGAATTAACTGCACTTTTTTTAATACATACTAAAGTCCCTAGTGGGAACCTTTGCGTTTGCAAGCAGCATCAGTGCTTGTCCACGGCAGATATTTATTCTTAAAGACTATCTTAGTGCAGCAGACGTTACTCGGTGATTTTGTGGCACTGCAGTCCTGTGAATTCCTGGATGACTGCTAGTCACATAACAAGACAAGCAAACTTGCCTGAATATATAAAAAAAAATAGCAAAAGTGATTCTATAAAAATGAATGAAAAACACTCTTGAGAGTAAGTGAAACATATTTTTTTCTTTGCTACAACATAACCTTAGAGGCATTAATGCTGATACTGGCACTT